TATCCTTAATTTATGGACATGAGTGTAAATTTTACTTCTCATTTTAGTAACGATAACTTTTCTGTTAAGGCTTTAGTAGTCAAAAAGCTAACGTCAAATTTACCAAACTTTGATCTGTCAGGATTCAATTGGCCTCATCTAAAAGGATTACAATTAGCAGATCCTTCCTTTCACATAAGTAGGCGGATTGATATCAAGATTTAATTCAAACTGGAGAGTTAAGGGGAAATCAAAACCAATCATCCGCTCTAAATTCAAAATTGGGTTATCTTATTTCAGGAACGGTATCCATTTCAAATAGAATTCAGAATTCTTTAATCAATTCTCATGCTTTAGTAGACATTGAAAATTTAATGAAAAAATTCTGGAATGTGGAATCGGTTCCAGAAATGAGTAAAGAATAAAATTCTATTGGGTTATTCAAGAAATCAAGCTAAGAAGCGGTTCTTTTCCTTAGAAAGGAAAATTCAACGAAACACAGAGCTTAAAACTCAATATATACATTTCATGCGGGAATATCAAACGATGAATCATATGCAGATTGTTCCAAGGATTTTTCAAAATCATCGTCAGAGTTTTTCTATTTACCTCATTTTGGAGTTACTAGAGATCAAAGTGAAACTACCAAATTACGTGTTGTATTCGACGGTTCTGCAAAGTCTGATTCAGAAGTTTCTTTAAATAATATTTTCCATATCGGTCCAAAACTTCAAAATGAATTGTTTGGAATCCTATTGAAATTTAGAACTCACTGTATCGCACTCACTGGAGATATTGAGAAAATGTTCCGACAAATCTTAGTCAATAAAAATTTTTGAAGAGAAAATCTTGAACAACCGCTTAAAGAATTCCAACTTCTGACAGTTACGTATGGCACTTCTCGTGCTCCATATTTGGCTATTCGGACATTAAAACAACTTGCCATAGAGGAACAAACGAGTTTTCGAGAAACTTGGAGAGTCATACTGGAAGATACCTATGTAGATGATGATCTCACATGAGCGAAGAATAATGAGAAAGCAAAACAGTTAGTCTCACAAATTATCGAATTAATGAAGAAAGGCGATTTTCCAATAAGAAAATGGGTATCTAATGAACCGACAGTCATTGAATTTTTACCCCAAGAACTAAGAAGCCGAACGGACCTTTGGCAGAGTGAAGAAAGTAAAATCTATACAAGTCTAGGAATCATTTGGGATGCTAAAGAAGATGTATTCAGAATTAGGAAAAACCCACCTATGGATGGTGTTTTAACAAAACGTCAACTTCTGTCAACTATCGCGAAAATTTATGATCCTCTTTGGGTTTTTATCACCTACAACGATTCAATTAAAAATTTTAATGCAGCATTTATGGAAGAAAAATATTGAATGAGATGATTTATTATCTAATGATATTTCTCAAGCATGGGATCTCTTTAAATCTGAAATAGAACATTTAGCTGAAATCAAGATTTCACGATTCATGATGAAAAACAGCTCTATTGAAAATATTCAGTTAATTGGCTTTTGCGATGCGTCTGAACATTCCTGTGCTGCAGTGTTTTATCTAAGAACAATATTCGAAAATGAAACATTCCACGTTTCATTGATTACTTCAAAAACAAAAATTGCTCCTGTAAAGACAATAACATTGCCAAGATTCGAACTATGTGCAGCGCTTCTTCTTTCTAAATTCTATAAAGTTGCTTCAACATCCTTAAGGAAAAATATTCACATTGATCAGATATTTTATATTCAGACTCAAAAATAGTTTTAGAGTGGCTTAGTTCATCTCTTCAATGGTGTAAAAGTTTTATTGCTAATAGAATATCAAAAATTCAAGACTCAACTTCAGAAGCTTCATGGAATTACGTGAAAAGTCAAGAAAATCCAGCAGATTGTGCCTCCAGAGGTATTTCTGCATTAAAACTGAAAAGTTACACTTTGTGGTGGTATGTTCCTCAATGGTTGTATCAGCATAAGATGCTCCCTCTGCCTGGCCCCATGCCACAGGAAGCATGTGTAGATGATATCAGATGCGAAGTAAAGAAATCGTTTCTGTCAATCAATATCACCATTTCAGATACACCTGAAATTACTGCTATGTTAGAAATTATTTTAAAATACTCATCGTTTTCAAAATGCATTAGAATAATTTCGTGGTGTTTAAGATTCATTATAAATTGCAAAATACAAGCTCAGAGTCAAAAACTCAAAGGTGTATTATCGCCTGGAAAGCTTGAAGAAGCAATTAAATCTATAACTAATTCAAAAATCAAAAAATTCAAGCTTGAGTACAACTACTTACAAAAAGAGACTTTCCTTACCTCAAAACAGTAAACTGATTCCAATGAATGTTTTCCTTGATGGAGAGGGAATTATTAGAGTAGGAGGATGGTTAACAAACTCGAAGTTAGATCACAATCAAAAACATCTGATTCTTATGCCAAAGAATCATCATTTCACTACTCTATTGAAACAATATTATCAGAGAATGCATTTACATAGCGGTCCTCTACTTACTTTGTGTTGTATCCGTCAAAAGTATTGGATACCCTCTGGAAAGAGATGCAGTCCGACGAGTTCTATCTAAATGTTTGACTTGCTTAAAACTGAAGTCGCAACCATGCCATGCCATCATGGGAGACTTGCCTTCTAGTAGATTTGGTGTTGGAAAAGCATTTCTTAACGTTGGACTTGATTTTAGTGGACCATTCTTTATAAAACCTAACCTGACATGCAGCACAGTAAGAATTAAATCGTACATTGCTCTTTTTATTTGCTTTGCCACAAAAGCAATTCATCACAAGGTTGTTTCAGACTTATCAACAGATGCTTTTCTAGCGGCTTTAAGACGGTTTATCTCTAGACGTGGAAGGCCGGTAAATCTCTATTCTGATAACACAACGAATTTTCGAGGAGCAGCAACCTACATAAGAGACCAATCAGTGCTTCTCAATTCTGCTAAAATTCAAAATTTTGCAGCTCAAGAATCTATTGTATGGTATTTTATCCCACCTTCAGATCCACATCTTGGAGGACTGTGGGAGGCTGGAATCAAATCTGCAACATTTACTGCAAGTTAGCAACATTTATTGAAGCAACATTTATTGTTGCATTTAACATTTGCAATAAATGTTGCAAGAAGCAGCATTTATTGAAAGTTTGCAAGGCAGCTATCTTAACTGTTGAGGAACTTACCACTCTAGTAATACAGATTGAAGCATGTCTAAATTCTAGGCCACTGACTCCTCTTTCTTCAGATCCTCAGGATTTAGAACCGCTTACTCCAGGACACTTCTTATAGATGCTCCTGTAACTTCCTTTCCTGAGAAAGCTCCAACAAAATCTCTTTGCTTAAAGTCAAGATGGCATCTGAGGCATCTGATTCAACAGCTTCGTAATCAGTTTAGGTCAAGATGGCAGGTGGAATATTTGAATCAACTATAACTACGAGAAAAGTGGACCTTGCGTGCAAACAATATTCAAGGTTTATCTCAAACAGGATTCTCTTCCTCCTTTCAAGTGGAATCTTGGAAGAATCACAAAAGGTTTTCCTGGAAACGACGGAGTAGTTCGAGTTGTTAAAGTAAAAACGTCAACTGGACTTTATCGAAGTCCAATTTCCAAATGCTGTCCTCTTCCTAAGTAACCATTCTTGAACTTGAGTGTTCAGCCCAAGTGGGGAGGGGGGAATGTTCAGTTTTAAAAATGTTTATGCCTTATTTTATCTTTTTTCTGTAGATGGCGCTTGCCTCGCGCTAGATGTTTAATTTGTAATGTACTTTTTAATTTTGCCGTGTGTTTGTGGCAACAGATTAAACAAAACCAAACGACTAGTATTCGATGGCATGTCGCATGCTAATAATGAACTTATGTAAACAATTCTAACAGCTGATAAAGACAAAGTCTTATTCAATGAATTGAGTCTTTTTCCTGTTCAAATTCAAGTATTTTCAGGTAACTATAAGTTGATGAAAATTCAAGGTAAGCCATTTGATAATTGTGAAGTTCCTTCCCCTGATGAAAGACGAAGAACGGAAGTGACTTACCCCGGAAAAACCGGTCGAGGCAGGCTGGTGGGGGGGAAGAAAGACTGGACGGAGAGGGCACTGGGAGTTGGACCGGCGAGCATGCCGTGTGAGAACGTAGAGAAAAGAAATATGTTTTAATTTCTTTTGCGCGCCTTGTATATATATATTGTATATAGTTTATGTTTACAGTGTACTCGTTGTATGGTGTATCCATAGTGCAGTTTGTGTAATAAATTAGTGAAGAAAATGTCAAAGCGGACAACTGTTATTTTCCCACTATGGTAAGTTTACACAGAAGAACCCACCTCGTGTTTGAACGAGCGCGAGGCATGACAAATGTCGCAGTCGTATAGGATAGTGGGAAAAATGAAATCACTAAAAGTACGAAGGAAGTAAGATCGTAAAAGGTGATTTGAGTGAACGTGGTTTAAATGAAGGAAATAATTCACGAAAGCAAAGAAGATGACAAAAGATGGTCATGAAAGACGGAAAGTGGCGCGCGTAAGCCTACACGTGCAAATAAACGAAAGGGTGTATGAAACCTCGTCGTGTGAAAAGTGATCATCAGTATTACCGTGGTGATATTATTAATTTAAATGTTCGTGCAGTGTTGAAACAGTGGCTGGTAAAAGTGATCATCCGTATTACCGTGGTGATATTATTAATTGAAATGTTCGTGCAAGTGTTGAAACAGTGGATGGTAAAAGTGATCATCAGTATTACCGTGGTGATATTATTAAGTGAAGTGTTATGCAGCGCGATGAGGAAATTGTACAGAATTGAGCACAACTCGTCATTTTCTACTATCGGGATCAAAGGTAAGTCCCTCTTAATTTCTTGGGAAGCACAATATATAAATGAAGAGAGCTCCCTCCCTATAATTACTATAGTAACGGAGAAAATTAAAATTGTGTTAATGTCGGTTAATAACATGATGAGAATGCCAGGCGTTAAAGCCAGTAGACACTTAGAAAGTATATTTTATATGCAAATAAGGAATTATGATTAATTTTGTTATTAAGGAGATAATGTATGCTAAATGAATGTTAAAATAGTTCAAAAATATGTCAGCAGTAATTTCGAAACATTTAATTGTGTGCTCATGTTACTAATTAAGGTAGAAATTATCTATTTTTGTTGTTGCCGTGTTTTGGCAAAATGTTTTAGTCATTAAAGTTAATAGGTTGATTAAAAATTAATTAGTTTAATGATTTGAGAACAATAAGTAAATGTTTGTTTCATTTCCAGAATATGTAAGGTATTACGGCGTAAGGCCAAAGTATTCAGAACTATTTTTTTTGTACTAATTCAAAAGCTAATATAATTTTTGGTATTTATGTGTTAACAATATATGGTGAAATATATGTTAATAGTAATATATGTTAATAGTAATATGAGAAAGGTATTCATGATTGTGTTCACTAATGATAATGTTTGCTAAATGAATAATGGTAGTATTCAGTAGTAGTGAAATATGTATGTTTGCCTGTAAAATTAAGTGTTATTTATGTGTTGTATGGGTAAAGCTGTGAAAAGAAATACCAGAAGTTAATATGGGTCCTAAAAGGAGAAATAGGGTGTCAGAAGAATCTGATGAAATTATTAAGAACATGCAGGCTCAAATTAAGTTAAAGGAAATGGAGCTGCAGCTAGAAAGGTGTAAGTTAGAGGCAGATGCGGCTAAAGACCGATTAAAAGAGATGGAATTTCGGGAAAGACAATTAGAGAGAGAACACGAGATAAAAATTAAAGAATTAGAAATTCAGAGTAGGAAAATAGATAAAGGAGGAAATAAATCGGGCTCAGAGGATGAAGGGGTTTCAGATGCTGAGAGCAAGGGAAATGATTTCTTGAAACATTTAAAAATAATGAAAGGAGTTATGATTGACCCGCCATCTAAAGCTGAGGAATGGCCGTTCTTTTTCCATCATGCGGAAATGATGTTTAATCTCTATAAAATTCCTGAAGAACATAAGGGGAAAATTATTTTGCAGAGTTTAAAAACTAAAGTTAAAAGTTTGATTTCAACTCTGGGTGAAAGGGATTTGGATAATTATATTAAGATTAAAGATACAGTATTAAAAGAATTCCAGATTACCCCATTGCAACATAAAAAGAATTTAGAAAAATGTGTAAAAAGATATGAGGAAACGTATACTCAGCACATAGCGAGGGTTGAGGCAGCACTTGATTTCTACTTAGAATCCAGAAAAGTTAAGACTTTTGATAAATTAAGAGAACTATTGATTGTCGATCAAGTAAAAGATCAATTACCCGCAAATGTTAAGGCGCATATACTGTTAAAAGAGGTAGAAAACTGGTTATCTCCGTCAGAGCTTGCAAATGATTTGGATAATTACGTTGCAGCAATGCCTAGAAATTACAATACGAGTGCTCAGGAAGTAAATAAAGTGGGACCAAAACAGGAACCGATAAGACAAGGGGAAAAATTAGGACGACCAAATAAGAGTAAGGGGAATTTCAGTTCTGATTACAGGGTTGATAAGGAGAAGTACAAAGGGGTAAAAACTTTAGAACTTTAGAACCTCAAGGAATGATGCAGGCAAATAAGAAAGTTCTAAAATGTTTTCAGTGTCAGGGTGAAGGACACATAAAGCGTTTTTGTCCAGCGATAAACCTGATAGCGAAACCCAAGAGAGGAAGCGAAAAAGAGGATACGGATGAGGTGGAAGCAAAGGGATTAAATAAAATATGCGTAGGGTTGAAGTTAGCTAACTATGCAGAAGAAATTCCGTTAACTAGGGCAAGTGGGGAATTACCTAGGATAGAACTGCAGATAGGCAACGCTAGATTCAAAGGAGTGATTGATAGCGGAGCAGAAGTTACTGTAATCCGGAAATCGGTAGTTCCACAGAAATATTTGGAGTCTGGAGGGAAGATATGGTTACAACCCGCCGTGGGACCCCAGGTAGAAGCCCAATTAGTTACAGTACCTATCAGTATCTGGTCAGGAGAAGAGGAGGTACAGCCTTATGTAAACGTTCATGCAGCAGTAGTGCATAATTTGAACGAGGAAGCGCTGGTGACATGGTGACCTCGAGATTTTAGACTTCTCAGGGAACAAGGAGATATTTATTGGGGAGAAAATAAGGAAGAAAAACTAGTATTGGGAGTTGGTCAGGTATCGAGTAACTTGGACGGAAAGGAATCGACAGAAAAAGCCAGTCACGAGGTCGAAGGTGAAACGGAAATAGCTCGTACTACACCGTTGGTAAGGAGTAAAGATGAGGGGGAAGTAGAAGTGGGAGGCAGTGAGCAAGTGTCAGCTGATAACCCACCCTTATCGCAAACTCAACGTTTTAGACAGGAGCAAGCGGAATGTATTTCGCTGAAAAGCGCGTTCATGGATGCACGTAATAACAAGAATGGGTATTGGCTGGAGTCAGGAATTTTGTACCATACGGGAAGTGTCAATGGGCAGCGATGTAGTCAGTTAGTTGTTCCTCAAAGCCGCAGGAAAGAAATTGTGAAGTTGGCTCACGAAAGCTTACAAGGGGGGCACTTCGCAGCAAAGAAGACGGCGGAAAGGATTAAAATGTCGTTTTGGTGGGAAGGATTGTCAAAGGAGGTGCGGAAGTGGTGCGAAGCTTGCAAGGAATGCCAGCTACGAAGGAAAGTTAAAGTGAAGGATAGGGCTCCAATTACAGCAGTAGGGAGGCCAGAACTTCCATTTCAAGTGGTTAATGCGGACGTTTTAGGGCCGATTGAGCCGAAATCTTCAAGAGGGCACCAGTATGTGTTATGTGTTGTTGATCAACATAGCAGATGGCCGGAGGCAATTCCACTAAAGGCGATAACAGCGAAAGCTACATGTGACGCTTTCATTGATATTTTCATGCGAACAGGAGTTCCGAGAATGATAGCCATGGATAACGGAACGAACTTTAAGGCTAAGCTAACACAAGAATTTTTAACTAGGTTAGGGGCCTCGCCAAAATTTTCTACGCCAGGGTATCCGCAGTCAAACGGGCTAGTGGAAAGGTGGATAGGAACAATGAAGTCAATGTTGCATCACGCGATAAATACTCAAG